AAAGAAAAGAAAAGAAAAGAAAAGAAAGGAAAAGAAAAGAAAAGAAAAGAAAAGGAAAGAAAGAAAGAAAGAAAGAAGTAAGGGAGCCAACCATGGGAATACCTGGAGAAAGGCAATTCCAGGCAAAGGAATAGTAGGTGTGCAAAGACCCGAAGGCAGGAATGAGCTTGGAGCATTCAAGGTCAAGCTGACTAGAATTGAGTGAACGACACAGAAATATTCTGGAGTGTTTAACCTCACCCTTTGTCAAAGTCAATAAAAACTTATGCCACCAAGAACCTCACGGTTTCTTTGTACCCTGGCATAGAATAACATACTACTTCCCTACGGAATATTCTCCTCCAAAGGATTCATGAAAAAGTCAAAATGTTTCCCACCTTCTAATCACTCTAAGAGACACAAAGGAATACTTTTATCTTTAGAAGTCAGTGTTCTGACTGAAAAATCAGAATGAATACCAGTGCAGTATGTCATACATTTTGAAATACAATGCTATGCCCATGTGTCCAGCTGCTGAAAACCAGCATAAACCAGGAATAGGTAATCTGGGTTGCTGTGGAGAAATTAGTTATCAACACACTGGCTAAAAATTACAGCTTTAATGTGCTTACCTTACAGTCACTGATGCTACTGTGCACCTGGCTGAATTCTCTGTTGAAAGTGTGGGTGAGAAGTTGCAGGCACTAAAGAAGAGAAAGAGAAGTGCAAACTGAACATAAAATGTCAACAGCCAGGAGCCTCTGGATAGCTGAACAGGTGGAGGCTCCTGAAGGGCTGGGTTCCCAGAGAGGGCATGGAAGCTCCACATCTCCTCTCCCTATGTATTTATCCATCTTCTGTCCATTGATCTCCTTTGTACCATCCTTTCTAATAAACCAGTAAATGTAAAACAAAACAAAAACAAAAACTCAATGACTAAATGAAGCCCTGGAGAAGAAGGCAGTATCCAGCCAGATTCCCCTTCCTCCTCATCCCATATACCTCTGCCTTTTTTTTTTTTTTTTTTTTTTTTTTTTTTTTTTTTTTTTTTTTTTGAGATAGAGTCTCATTCTGTCACCAGGCTGGACTATAGTGGTGTGATCTTGGCTCACTGCAACCTCCACTGCCAGGGTTCAAGGGATTCTCCTGCCTCAGCCTCCCAAGTAGCTGGGACTACAGGTACGTACTACCACACCCAGCTAATTTTTGCATTTTTAGCAGAGACGGAGTTTCACCATGTTGGCCAGGAAGGTCTCGATCTCTTGACTTTGTGATCTGCCAGTGTCGGCCTCCCAAAGTGCTGGGATTACAGGTGTGAGCCATAGCACCCAGCCACCTTTGCCTTCTTTAAAAAGCTTTTATCTGGCCAGGCATGGTGGCTCTCATCTGTAATCCCAGCATTTTGGGAGGCTGAGTTGGTTGGATTACCTGGGGTCAGGAGTTCAAGACCAGGCTGGCCAACATGGCGAAACCCTGTCTCTACTAAAAATACAAAAATTAGCTGGGCATGGTGGCACATGCTTGTAATTCCAAATACTCAGGAGGCTGAGGAAGGAGAATCGCTTGAACCCAGGAGGTGGAGGTTGCATTGTACCACTGTACTCCAGCCTGAGTGATGGGAGCAACACTCCATCTCAAAAAAAAAAAAAAAGCTTTTATCTTTTCTCATCAGATTACTGTAATAAAGAATTCTTTGGCTGGGCACGGAGGCTCACTCCTGTAATCCCAGCACTTTGGGAGACTGAGGCGGGCAGATCACACGGTCAGGAGTTCGAGACCAGCCTGACTAACATGGTGAAACCCCATCTCTACTAAAAATACAAAAATTAGCTGGGCATGGTGGCATTCACCTGTAATCCCAGTTACTCAGGCGGCTGAGGCAAGAGAATCACTTGAACCCAGGAAGCGGTGGTTGTGGTAACCCAAGATCAGGCCACTGCACTCCAGCCTGGGTGACAAAGCAAGACTGTCTCAAAAAAAAAAAAAAAAAATTCTTCCTTCCCTCCCTTTCTCAGCATATTTCTTCAACATCAATCTATTCTCTATTTCTGCCAGATAAATCTTTCTAAAACACAAACACCTGTTTAAAGTATTTCTCCATTGCTCCCAACATCCATGCTAAACTCTGCAGTGCAGTACACGGGATTCTTCACTCCACACCTCCTTTTCCATTCCCACATGAACTCCCGAAGACTGATCATGCAGGACACCGCTGCCTCCCTCCTGTACATCCATCCAAAGTCAGCTCATCAGCCCCTCCCAACTACAGAGGCTTCTCCTCTGACTTGCATAGCATTTGAAACACACATCTCTACTATATGCTTGCGACCTGCTATTCTGTAAGCCTTTATATTTTTTAATTTTTAAAATTTTTATTTTATTTTTTGAGATGGAGTCTCACTCTATCGCTCAGGCTGGAGTGCAGTAGAGCTATCTCAGCTCACTGCAACCTCCACCTCCTGAGTTCATGCAATTCTCCTGCCTCAGTCTCCCGAGTATATGGGAATAGAATACAGGTGCCCGCCACCACGCCCAGCTAATTTTTGTACTTTTAGCTCAGATGAGGATTCACCATGTTGGTCAAGCTGGTCTCAAATTCTAGAGCTCAGGTAATCTGCCTGCCTCAGCCCGACAAAGTGCTGGGATTACAGGCATGAGCCACCATGCCAGGCCTAATTTTTACTGTTGTAGAGAAAAGGTCTCACTATGTTAGCCCAGGCTGGTCTGGAACTCCTGGGCTCAAGCAATTGTTTTGCTTCAGCTTCCCAAAGTGCTGGGATAACAGGCATGAGGCACTGTGCCTGACCCCTGTAAGCTTGTCAAGAGTAAGGAACTCTGTGTCTTACTTTTTATTTCTACATTCACAGTATTATCTCAGGCCTTCAAACAGAGGCCCTCAAACAAAGGTGTGGAAAATGAATAAACTCAGGGGCTAGCTGGTGAAGCCTCATGGTGGGAAGATGCTCAGCAAAGACGAAGGGATTCATACCTTGGTAGCCAGCTCTTTCTCTCGGTCCACCAGGCTTTCGATGTCTGCTGAATCATAGCCACTGCTCTCACTGGGTGTGATGGCACTTTCAAAGGTGGTGGTTGAGATCTGAGAGGAGATGCTGGTGGAGGTGCTGAGGGTTCCACTGCTGAGGCTGGGGGATAAGGAGTCGCTCAGGGATTTAGGGATGCTGTCACCAAGTCTCTCACGTAGCAGCAAGAAGTGGCGGGTTTTTTCCACCTGCGAAGATCAGTACTACTGTTTTAGCAAACACAAAGCTCATTAAGATCTAAGGAGAGAAAAGTGAAAAGCCATGATCACACGGAGCAGCAGGGACGAAGACTGATACTTTGGCAATCTTGTCCCAGAGTTCTTGCATTTGAGCAACCCTGCCCCTGCATACCTCATGTAGGAGCTCCAGCTTCTCCAGCTCCCACTGGTGCTCAAGGATAAGGCTGTCTCCACGGGGCCGCCAGCCTGCTAAGTTCTCTTCTCCCCGCACATATGCCACTGATGTATCTAAGACTTTTCTTCTCCTTCTCTGCATGCCTAAGACAAGAGGAAACAAGTTTTTGTTTCAGAAAAATATTCAATTCCAAGTTTAGGTCAAAACAAATTAATAATTCTTACACGTGGCAAACTAAGGCAGTTTGTTCTCAAGATATATAAAATTTTGTTTAAATACCAAAGGAACTCTCTGAACTTATTTAAAAAACTGAGTTTGACATTCTTTGATAATTATGAAGAATGGAATGCAATTACAGAAAATGATAGATATGTAACTCAATCAAGACAGTTGTAGGTGGGCAAAAAAAAAAAAGATAAAGTTATGATGTTAGGTGAAAATGTAAAGATATTAAATAGTCTGTAATAGTCTACACATTATGGGGCTACACACAATGGCTCATGCCTGTAATCCCAGCACTTCGAAAGGCTGAGGCTGGCAGATCACCTGAGGTCAGGAGTTGGAGACCAGCCTGGCCAACATGGTGAAACCCCATCTCTACTAAAAATAAAAAATTAGCCAGGTGTGTTGTGGCAGGTGCCTGTAATTTCAGCTATTCAGGAGGCTGAGGCAGGAGAATCGCTTGAACCTGGAAGGTAGAGGTTGCAGTGAGCTGAGATGGCGTCACTGCACTCCAGCCTGGGTGACAGAGCGAGATTCCATCTCAAAAAAAAAAAAAAAGTCTATACACTATGATTGCAAATACCTAGATGAAAGAAGTGGGGAAGGCCAGGCATAGTGGCTCATGCTGTAATCTCAGCCCTCTGGGAGGCCAAGTTGGAAGAACTATTTGAGCCCAGGAGTTCAAGACCAGCTTGGGCAATATAATGAGGCCCTGTCTCTACCAAAAATTAAAAAATTAGCCAGGTGGGCTGGACACGATGGCTCACACCTATAATCCTAGCACTATGAGAGGCTGAAATGGGTGGATCACGAGGTCCAGTTCAAGACCAGCCTGGCCAAAATAGTGAAACCCCGTCTCTACTAAAAATACAAAAAATCAGCCGGGTGTGGTGGCAGGCACCTGTAATCCCAGCTACTTGGGAGGCTGAGGCTGGAGAATCACTTGAACCTGGAGGCAGAGGTTGCAGTGAGCCAAGATTGTGCCACTGCACTCCAGCCCAGGCGACAGTGCGGGACTCCGTCTCAAAAGAAAAAAAAAATTTAAGCCGGGCGCGGTGGCTCACGCCTATAATCCCAGCACTTTGGGAGGCCGAGGCGGGTGGATCACGAGGTCAAGAGATCGAGACCATCCTGGTCAACATGGTGAAACCCCGTCTCTACTAAAACTACAGAAAATTAGCTGGGCATGGTGGCGCGTGCCTGTAATCCCAGCTACTCAGGAGGCTGAGGCAGAAGAATTGCCTGAACCCAGGAGGCGGAGGTTGCGGTGAGCCGAGATCGCGCCATTGCACTCCAGCCTGGGTAACAAGAGTGAAACTCTGTCTCAAAAAAAAAGAAACAAAAACAGAAAAAAAAAATTTAGCCAGGTGTAGTTGCATGTGGCTATAGTTCCAGCTACTTGGGAGGCTGAGACAGGTAGATCACCTGAGCCTAGGAGGCAGAGGCTGCAGTTATATGATCACTCCATAGCACCCCAACCTGGGCAACAGTGAGATCCTATACCTAAAAATAAAAATTTGAGAAAAGAAGGAAGGGAACACACACACACACACACACGCACACACACACACACACTTACTGGTTCAGTGGCTGACAGATGACAGAGAGCTTTAGCCTCTATTATTTCCTGTTAATTATTTTTAGTATTATGTTGGTTTTACATATTAAATATATAAATTTATATTAATTTAAAGAATTTCTCAAGGAACTATCTGGATAGTATAAATAATTAGCTGCTACTTGGATTCATAGTCAAAGTCTTCTTTACTTATCTAAGTTTTACCTGAGGGCCCTGGCTTGTTTTCCATGTATATTCTCTAAAATGATTCAAACTCACATTAATCAAACTCTACTAGAAAACCTTAACTTTTGTTCATGTTTTAGTTTATAAACATAGAAATGCTAAGTGCTGCTTAAGTCCGCCTAGCTAGAGGAACAACAGCAATTTAAAAACACATTAAAAACAATACAGAACAAATTTGACTTAGTAATTGTACCTTTTTTTTTTTTTTAGACAGAGCCTAGCTCTGTCATTCAGGCTGCCGTGCAATAGTGGGGTCTCAGCTCACTGCAACCTCTGCCTCCCGGGTACAAGCGATTCTCCTGCCTCAGCCTCCTGAGTAGCTGAGATTACAGGTGCTTGCCACCACGCCCAGCTAATTTTTTCTATTTTTAGTAGAGATGGGGTTTCACCATGTTGGCCAGGCTGATCTCCAACTCCTGACCTCGTGATCTGCCTGTCTCAGCCTCCCAAAGTGCTAGGATTATAGGCGTGAGTCACCACTTCCACCTTCTGGGTTCAAGCAATTCTCCTGCCTCAGACTCCTGAGAAGCTGGGATTACAGATGCGCACCACCACGCCTGGCTAATTTTTCTATCTTTGGTAGAGATGAGATTTTAAAACTGGTCTTGAACTCCTGACCTCAGGTGATCCACGTGCCTCGGCCTTCCAAAGTGCTGAGACCACAGGTGTGAGCCACTGTGCCTGGCCAATAATTTGACTTTCTAAAACATGGGAAATTTAAATTCCAGTCTGATAACATCTGTAAAGTTACACTGCTAAGTCATCTTTGGGCTAAAGTGGGGAGAGAAATGGTTATGAAGTTTTCTAAATCAAATTCATTCTAATTCACATAAATTTTTTTTTTTTTTGAGATGGAGTCTTGGTCTGTTGTCCAGGCTGCACTGCAACCTCCACCTCCCTGGTTCATGCAACTCTTCTGCATCAGCCTCCGGGGTAGCTGAGACTGTAGGTGTGCCATGCCTGGCTAATTTTTGTTTTAGTAGAAATCGGGTTTCACCATATTGGTCAGACTGGTTTGAACTCCTGACCTTGTGATCCACCAACCTCAGTCTCCCAAAGTGCTGGTATTATAGGCATGACCCACTGTGCCCAGCTAATTTTCGTATTTTTAATAGAGACGGGGTTTCATCGTTTTAGCCAGGATGGCCTTGATTTCCTGATCTCATGATCCACCCACCTCGACCTCCCAAAGTGCTGGGATTACAG